ATCTATCTATATATATATATATATATATATATATATATTCTGTTTTCATTGTATTTTTATTTAACGCTTTGATAATTTTGTTGTTTTGTCATTAGTTTTAGTTTTTCTTTTAAATGTCTACATAGTTTATAGTAATTTTTATTTCAGTTTTAGTTTGATTAATTTTGTTTTGTTTTTGTCATTTTTTTTTTTTTTTTACGTTTTTATAAATTTTTATTCCAGTTTTAGATAGAAATGTTGCCTTGGCATCTAATTGAAATTTTTACTGAAAGTATAACTGTTTTTTTTTATTTTAGTTCCGTTAACATTTATTTTTAGTTAACATTTATAATTTGTCAATTTACATAAATGTTTTTTTTTTCAGACAATTTTAGTTAACAAGAAATAAAACTGAGATTGAGTGTCCTTTTGAGCCCATACCAGTGTTACTTTATTATCATTGATATACTATTATAGATTCTATTCATATTTTAAATTAATTTTTGTATTTTATAATTTCTGTTTTCCGTTAGTTAAAGTTTTAGTAATTTTATTGTTTTCACTTTTTAAAAATTTTATTTTTATTTTTATTTTCCATTTTAATTCTAAAGTTTTATTTATTTATTTTTTTCATTTTTAAATGCTATTATTAGTTTTATTTTCCATTTTAATTTTAGTTAAAGTTGTATTAATTTTGTTGTGTGATTTCATTTTTGTTAGTTTTTTTAAATACGTTTATTTAGTTTTTATTCATTTTTATTTTAACTTTAGTTATTTTAAATACAATCAACTTAAACTAAATTAAATTGAGAAATGTTGCCTTGGCAACTGACTGAAATAAAATAAGTTGTTTATATTTTATTTCAAGCACTGAAGAAGTCTTCAAAATGTTTAGTCTTAGTTAACAGTAATAACCCTGGTACTAAGTACTTCAAATAAAACCCTCTCTAACTTTCATTCACTGACTAGTTTCCTCATTTTTCATAATATGAATGTATTTTTGTCGTTCTTTTGTTACCTGTCATATTTATAAAAATTGGTGCATCCTCATGCACGCAGTCCGATTCCCGAAGTGTTTGTATTAATTTTGTTGTGTGATTTCATTTTTGTTAGTTTTTTTAAATACGTTTATTTAGTTTTTATTCATTTTTATTTTAACTTTAGTTATTTTAAATACAATCAACTTAAACTAAATTAAATTGAGAAATGTTGCCTTGGCAACTGACTGAAATAAAATAAGTTGTTTATATTTTATTTCAAGCACTGAAGAAGTCTTCAAAATGTTTAGTCTTAGTTAACAGTAATAACCCTGGTACTAAGTGCTTCAAATAAAACCCTCACTAACTTTCATTCAGTGACTAGTTTCCTCATTTTTCATAATATGAATGTATTTTTGTCGTTCTTTTGTTACCTGTCATATTTATAAAAATCGGTGCATCCTCATGCACGCAGTCCGATTGGATCCCGAAGTGTTTCGTGTGGTTTTGTGTGGTCCGAGCCTTAACTCTCTGCTGTCCTCCTGATATATTTGATGTTTTTCTCAAACCCCCCCAGCGCCGTCGAAGGTTTTGGCTAAGCCTGAGAATCTGACAGCGACCTTCAGCTTCCACGACGGTAACGTGACAGCTGGTTTCCTCTGGAGGGTGTCGCGAGCGCAGCCGCTTCAGCCCGTCACGGGGTTCCAGGTCACATGGGCGGAGGTTTCCAGCACGAGTCGTCCGAACAGCCTTCCCAACAGCATCATTTCCCAGTCTCAGATCCTGCCACCTGTGAGTCGTCTCCACACACGCTGTTCTCCCGTGAAAGCTACATAAATTACACTTACATTACGTGTTCTTGGCCCACACTTTCTTACCGGAGCGCCTCTCATGGAAAATTGGTTGCATGAGTCCAAGAGTGTAAAATATGATACACAATCATCTTGTGTGCGTAACGCCAGTGCTGGCATCGGCCCACAGGATCCGGATGATGAATCGAGCGCTGCATGAGGCTCAGAGGCTGTTCGTTTGCTCACCTTTTACTAACCAGACCTCTTATATGGATGCTTTCTGGATGAAGTAAGGCTGAGTGATTTAACAAATGTTCACAATGACTTTGTATGACTTTGTTGCCAGTAAAAATATAAATTAATATAATATTAAGTAATAATATAATTTATTTCTGTGGTGTATATATATATATATATATATATATACACTGA